CAGAACTAATAATTCTAGCATTTTTATATGTACAATTGAAAAAAACGCTAAAACTATCAGTTTTGGTATTTTTACATGTAAAATCAAAAAAGAAAAATGCTGGAATTAATGATTCTGGAGTTTTTACATGTAAAATCAAAAAATGCCAAAACTATTAGTTTTGGCATTTTTACATGTAAAGTCAAAAAAAATGCTGAAACTATTAGTTTTGACGTTTTTACATGTAAAATTATAAAGAAAAATGCCAGAACTAATGATTCCAGCATTTTTATATGCAAAATCAAAAAGAAAAATGCTAGAACTAATGATTCCAGTGGTTTTACATGTAAAATCAAAAAAAAATTCTGAAACTATCAGTTTTGGTATTTTTACATGTAAAATCAAAAGGAAAAATGCCGAAATAAATAGTTTTGGTGTTTTATATATAAAAACAAAAAGTAAAAAATGTTACAAACTGTTTTTTTACAATATTTAATAATAAAATTTCAGGTAACCCAAATTATTCAAAGTGGCGTGAATACTTTTAGATCAAATGGGTTGGATCAGATCAGAACGGTTTAACCGATCTGACCTGACCTGAAAAAATTTTGGTTCAGATTAACCAGATAATCTGATTTAATCCAACTTGTGCAAAGCTCTACAGGAAGTCATTTAAAGCTAGATTCAATCACATGACTTGTAAAAATTTATTTTTTATAAATAAAACTTTTTGCCAATATATAAAACTTTCAAGTTATATATATATATACTAATATAGTATGTGTATTTTAGCCTGTTGTAGGATCCCGCTTACTTATAATAAAGGTTACCGTAGAAAATTGGCCCTTTACTAATAGTTTTTACCTTACTTTTTTCTTAAATTCTATTGGTTAATTAGCTAAAAAGGAAAAATCATAACAATGTAACATAAAATTTCCTTTTATAGTAGTATTTGCAAAAAATTTTATATATGATTTTTACCTTAGATCTGAAGGTGACCTATCTTATAAGTAAGCGGGATCCTCTTGTTGTACAAGTTTACTTAATGCATAATATAGGATTTTAAACACTGTTTTTGACTTATTTGAATTTTTTCATTTTCGTCATTCATTTTTAAATATAATCAGCAAAAATTATTCATTCATATGTAAAGTCAAAAATAGTGTTAAAAATCAGCTTTTTTATCATTAAGTAAATTTGTAAAGCAAGACAAAATACACTTATTTTATAACTTTCATATTTACATTAATCTTAGTTCATAAAAAAATGGCTTATTTATAAAATGTCAAGTCATATAATCGAATTCAGCTTTAGATAACCTTCAGAATAGGCGGTCATAAAAATTGATTATTTTTGAAAACAAAAAAAGAAAAAAGACTAAACATCATTACAAATTGGAAATAAAAAAAGTAATAAAATGAAAATATTTTTCAAAAGATGGTTAAAAAAAATAGAAGACAATAAAAATAAAATAAAAAAAACAGCCAAAGAAATCTAGTACTAAAATAGTCATTCTAATAGAACTTAAGAGTATTATAATGTTAAGATGAAAAAAGAAAAGGATGGATAACTTTATTTATGAAAAAGGTAAAGGTAAAAGTAGAAATAGTAAATTAGTTATAGTATAAAAATAGATTAAATTATATAAACCTTAGATTAATTTTAATAAATAAGTTTAAATATTTATTTCTATTTCTGATAGGTTAATTAATGCTTTTTTGGCAGCTTTAGTGATTTATGTTATGTGATCATATGACTGGATTTCAAATACTTTTAATTTCAGTTTTTTTAAAATATTTTTTATTTTTTTAATAATCATTAGTATATTGTACAATAATATATTGAGCAATATGTATACCAATGGTAGTTAATAAATTTCAATTAGTTAAGTATATAAAACAGATACCAATTTGATAATTTCTTAGTATGGGCCGTTGCAAAAAGATTGATACCTCACCCAAAAAGGAAATAATCTACACTAAGATAAATACTGTGCGACCAAAACAAGGTGGGCTGAAAAAAAAATATATATTAAAATGACTTCGAATAAACATTTTTTACTAACATTATTTTACTTTACCATGGATATTTCCTCTACAAAAGGGAGTGGTGCACCATTAACCGACAATAAAAAGTTGATGGTTATTAAGGTTTACAATTATTTTTCGGGGGCTAACTCTAAAAAGGAGGATCATCAGAAGGTCACACTACGCAAGCATGTTGCTGAGGTGTTGGGCATAGGGGAATGTACAGTTGGGCGGGTGGTATCAGACTGGAAGAGTCGTGGTGACAATACTTTTACACCACATAAAACTCTCCAACTTCGAATACAAAAAAGCAAGAAATTATTGATTGGTTACATGCACATGATATTGCTTTTTCTGATGAATTAAGAAAACCAGAACTTTTGGAGCTAGTTCGAATGAACAAAGAAAAGGTCCCATTTGCTTGTGTTAAAATTGCAGAACAGTATGAACATGAAGTTAATTTTACCCTTCCTTACCATTGCGAACTGCAACCTATTGAAGTTGTTTGGTCAGTTGTGAAGGGTGAAGTTGCACGTTCAAGTCCACATCCAAACCTTTTATCTGTTAGAAATACACTACTAAATGCATTTAAAGAAAAAATTTCTTCAAAAGTTATTGTAGGACTTTGGAGGAGAGCAATTAAAAATACTAAGGAATATTTTGAGTCTGACGAAAACATACAATTTACCGATGATGAATTTGATGCTTATAGTAGTTTCGATGATGATCACGTGATTTAACGTAATATTTATATCAAATCTTTCCCAATATATACTGATAATATTTATTAAATAAAAAAAGAAAATTACATAATAAAATTTTTTTTATCGATGCAATATCTGAGGTATCAATCTTTTTGCAACGGCCCATATTGAAATAGTGTTATCCTGTCAATGATTAAAACTGACTGAAAAACTTTAATGCTTTAACAGGTTAACTGGAGTTTAACTTAATAGGAGAGTCTTAAGTTGATCACAAATAATCACGTAAAAATAATGTTGGATGTTCAGTTTTAAAGAAAATAGGTTTTATTAAAATAATATAAAATATTAAATACGATAAAAAAAAATATAGATAATCTCTTTGTTGCGAAATTAACTATCCTGAATTATACTACTGGAAATAATACTCTTTTCATATAACTCGAAAACTACAATACAATTCTTAACTCACTAACTGACTACTCCTTCTACTTAGTAAAATCCTATTACTATTTATAATAAAATAAAAATTAAGAATATTTGATAAAATAAATAAAACAAATATAATAAATAAATAAAATAAAATAACTAAAATAAATAAATAAGATAAAATAAATATATCAAATAAATAAAATATAACAAATAAAATTAATAAAATAAATAAATCAAATATATCAAATTTATTAGATTTATCAGATTTATCAAATAAATCAAGAAAATCAAGAGATCTATGAAATAATCTACAAAATTGATCTTACATAAAATTACTGCGCCACATCTTTATTTTAACAATAGAAACCATTTTTTTATTACACAATAAAATTTCTACACCAAGTGAATGTAAATTAATCCAACCCTTTAAGAATTGAATAGAAGTCATTCTACCTAATATTTTACTCTAAATTTTAGATATGATCAGATGACATACTAATTATACCATAACCATAAAAATAAGAATTTTTTTTTTTTTCTGTAATGCATTTGATAGTTTATTAAATAATCAAGTGATAAAATTAAAATACACATATTGTGAAATAACCTAATCTAGCTATCTAATATTATTAACTACTAAACTATTTGTCATACTAAAGAGTACCCTACATATGTACTGTTAGGTAAAATTTTTGCTCAAAAGGTATAGTTCATTTAAAAATGGCCATTCTTAGCATAAATGCCCCTCTTTCTTCACAAGGCATTCACAGGACGCACTACATTACGAAAAGAAAAAAAAAAAAAATGATATGTTAAGAATTTGAAAAAAGAAATATTCCAACCAGATCGCTCCTCCTACAAGTATCCAAAGAAATCGTAGTCCAGTCATCCTCTCTAATCAAGTCATAGGATCTGAGGCACGCACACTTAGGCTAAGATTGGCCAGCTGTAAAGGAAGAAAACTAAGTACAGTAACTTCAGAAAACGTATAGGAGGCCCATTTACAGTTGTATAGTAAAATGTAGTATTCGTCATGTAATCTAATATCAGATGTCCTGACATACAGCACATAAAATTAGAATCAGACACTGATATCCTTCACAAAACCAATATACCATTAAACTATTTAATGTAAACTATATCTACAAATATGAAAATAATAATAAATACATAACTATAAAAACTAAAATGTAAAATAAAACACAAAAAAATATAGAAAAATGAAAAAATAAAGGATAAAAATAAGAATTGAATAATATAATAAAAAAATCTATGTTAAAAAAAAAAAAATGTTTATTATAAAAATTTTGTTTATCAAAATGACTATCTATATGATAATTCTGATCATCTAAATGTAAATAATTTGAAGTAATAAGGATGATCCAGTATAGAATAAAATAATCATCCAATTTTTGACATTAAAAATACTTGATATACTATTTGTCATTATATTAATGATTATTTGTTATATATTTTATGAGAAAGAGTATTACACAATAAAATTTTTAATTATTATGATATTAATTTTTAAAAATATCATATAATAAATCAGATTCAATTTTTTTTGTTAACTTTGTTAACTGCAGTAATTATTGCTTTTCTCTACCTGTTCCCATATCTAATCTCTTAATCTATGAAATAAATTAGTGAATAAATTAATTCCAATAAAGATTAAATATTCTCTATTTTCAAAAAGATCTATAATTAGATCTGTATATTTCTGAAATTTGCTTTTAATTTGTGGAGCTACTAAGTGAATATTACCTTCACTTTCTGCACAATTGCACATGATATAATAATCGGTCATTTGTTTAGTTTCATCACTAATTTTTTCATAGTTAAAATCATATACATGTTTACATCATTTACAAGGTTTAATTTTAGCAATTATTAATATAGATTGCCGGTCTGTTATATTTTGAAAATTATCTGTGAAATCTACTGAGTCTGCTATTCTCAAATAGTGGTAGCTGATGTAATTACTATTATCTATATTTACTTTAGAATGGAAGTTCTGTGTTTGTACTAATGATTTTTCTAAAGAAATAGCCACACAATTGATTTTTTTAGCAGATACAGAAAATTGATGAAACGTAGCTTGATCAGTTAAATTTTGTTTATTACGAAATGGAAAATATGAAAATTCACGATCAACATATATTTGAGGTGCTTTGATAATTCTCTGTATATTAAAAAATCGGCTGTATTCAGAATATACACCTGGGCTAGTTGTAATATCTAATAATTTTTGTTGATTATCAGAAATTATACAGATCACTTTTGGCCATAAAGGACATTCTAACGGTAAAAAACTGCCAATTGACTCTTTTATGGAATTTATGATTTTACATAAATTTACTTCTTTTCCAATCATGGAATTACAAATTTTCCATCGAATTAATTTACTTAATAAACATCTGGAAGTGGAAGAAAATTGCGAATAAAGGAATTCTAATAAACCAGCATCTATGAAATCTTTCAACATAAATTCAAGATTAAGGCTTTTGCATCGATCAGCAAATCCAATTATATTGGTTTCCATGACACGTCTTATGCCTAAATACTGCGATATAAACAGTATTTCAGCATAGACTTGCTGAGACTCTTTAAATGTCATAGTGGAAGGTCCTGTTACTATGAAATTGTCAATTCCTTGAAGTGCTAAGAAAACATTTTTTTGTATTTTTGATAAATTGTTAAAATCACTTGCTGTACTTCTCCGAAAGGCAATCTGTTGTTGTTTAAAAGCTGATATAAGATGATCTAGTTGGAAAGTTGATAAAGTATTCATATTATTTGCTTTAAAAAAAAAATTTTCAACTCTGTTTTCTTGCAAGCTAAAACAAACAATTTAATAACTGATAAGGTCCAATTCATGGTAATTAAATAATCTATTCTTTAATTCTTTAACTAGAGGGTCACTCAATGATACCTAAATTGTCAGCATAAATGAAGTGATGTAAGTACAGTTAATAGCGCCATGATATCCACAGTTCCCTGTGAAATAACTAATATATTCATCACCCGTGATTAATGATTAAAAAATATATATATACATTTATTTATTTATTTATTTACTTTTTATAGCTTATTTGGTATAAAAATACTTAATACTTATAATTGCAATAATGTAAATTCCAAGTAAATTGGTAAATAATTTGAGGTACGAATTTCAAATGATATCCTGGTATTACATAATATTGGTATTTTCCTAGTGAATTAAACTCCTCGACATGTAGTTTCACGAGTGATCAATTAGTAGACGGGAAATATATTCTTTTATTTTTGTTATAATTGATGATATTTTATATAATAATAAAAAATAATATAGAGTGCTCTTCTAATTACCATGGCTGAACAGCAGGTCAATTACTAGCTCATGTCATTCCAGTCCGACTGAATCTCCAATTAAAAAATTTGTACCGTTTTGAAATAGCCCGTATAAAATAATCTTGAATTGTGCGACACGTGATTTGCCTGCGGCTCTGCGCTTGAGCTATTCCATAAAAAGCAATTCTAAGCGAACGGCTCAGGAATTGGTCGATAAAGAAGTTCGAAAACAGTTCCCGACTCAGTTAACGATGATTTACTTCGGAAGAAAAAAAGAAGTGGTACTGAGCTATTTAATGACATCGGCGAGCATATGATTCAAAGGGGTTAAATCATTTTCCGCATTATCATCAAGGACGATCACATTTTTGAAACATTTTTTTGATTTATTTTATTTATTTTATTTCAGATGTTTCAGATATAACTTTTTATTATTACAATAATTTTTGAAACGCGAGATGCATACAAACAATATTAGTAATAATGATTTCCGAGATTTTCTTTAAAAAAAAAATTTTAGTTCATTCCGAAATAATAATTATTAATTTCTAAGTTTCTAATCACACAAAATTTGTTTCGGTAATAACATTCGGAAAATCAATTACAATATGATTTTGATTTTCTATGAACATAATAATATTATTTAATATTGTACATTCGTTGTTATCACCACAAAAACTACTAAAATAAGTATTATTCATTTCATGAGGAGTTGGGAAATGGGAATAATAGGGTTTTTTCCCGAAGGAAAAAAAACCTTAATTCTCCCCTTCCCATGAAGTAAATGGGTAATCCCTGGAGCCTGTCACTCATTAAATATTAACAATTATTTTAAACTTAAATTAGCAATTTTCCGGATATCTATATGAGGCCGGGAAATAAGTAAACAAAGATTCCCGGTCATTTATAAACTCAGCTAATCACTCGCAATTTTTAAAATTAGTATGAAGGTGATCATGAGCACAGTGCGACAGAAGATTATATATTTTATATGACAATTTAATAGCTACTTCAAATTAAGGTAAAATAATTATCCATATCTGATATCCATCCAGGTTACGGTACATTTCGCCGAAAGCCATTTCGCCGAAAGGACGTTTCGCCGAAAAATAGGGCCAACATTATGCAGAATTATAAATAACTCAGGCAAGAGATTATTTTTCGGCGAAATGGCTTTCGGTGAAATGTCCCGATACCGATATCCATTATCAGTCCATACGAATTATCTATACGCAAATTATCTATTCTCAAATTGTATAAACCATAAACCGCGTAAAATAAACTCTTATACAATATAATAACTTTTTGTCGGTCAATTAAAACTGATATAGATTTTTTATATATGTCTTATATATATATATATTTTATTTATTATTTTGATATTTGTTATATTTAATAATTTTGTTATATTTAATTCTTATGTTTAAAATGTTTGAAAAAAAAAGGTAAAATAAAATAAAATAATAAATTCTTTGGGAAAAAAAAAAATTATATACTGTATATTGTAAATATATTCGATCTTTTATTAATTTTATTTTTTTTTGATCGAAATTTCCAGAATTATTTCTTTTTATCTAATCTAAAAAAAAAAAAGTTGTATATATAAAATTTTCTTTAAAATTTTTCTAAAAAAGATAAATCATAAAATAATAAATGAATAATGATATATATAATAAGGGTAGTATAATGAGGTTAAAATAATAATACTAATTTTTCCTTCTAAAGGGAGAAAGAAAAAAAAAGCTTATGGATATAAATGATATAAATAACTTAGGTATAAATTAATAACTGTATATCAATATCATAAATTATATATAAAAAAAATACTTAAAAAAAAAAAAAAAATGAAAGTAATAATATATGTTATAAAAATAATCATAAAAATAAATAATTATATATATAATATATATATAAATATAAATATAAAAATGTTGAAAAAAAAATATAGTGAAAAAAGTTGAATTGAAATTATTATTATAATATTTTTCTTTTCTATATATTTACAAAGAAAAAAAAAAGATTATACTTTCTTTTTTCTTTTTTCTTTCATTTTCTTCGCAAAGAATTTTATTTCACAAAAAACGAAAGTACTTAATTTTTTAGTGCAAAAGAAAATATGTTTAATTGTGAGTGTGGAATAATAATGTGATTAATAGAATTATTATACAAAAAAAATGAAATGGAATTTTTTCTATGAAAGCATTTCTAAAATGTAAAAAAATTTTTTTTAAAAAAAAAAAAAAATTTTTTTTAGTGTGAAATTTACAAAAAAGAAACTACACTTTTGTGACCCATAATTAAGACCAACCCAAACTATAATATGTAAACACAGAGACCCAAACAAATTACAAAATAATATGCAACAATTTTTTTTTTTTTAAAAAAAAGGTAGCAAAAAATGAATTAAACGAAACAAAGACCTGCATGAATTTCACTTATTCCTATTGCTACCCTTTTTTTATCCTAATATAAAAAAAGTCTTTTTTTTTTGAATGAATGAATGAAAATCGTGTAGGGATGAGAATCTTAATTTCTTAAGTTCTTAAGTAGGGAATACGGATGTATAATTTCCTCTACGATCTAATACGGATGAAGATGAATTATTGCTTCCACTTCCACCATATTGATCTTCATCCATGAATTGTGATGATAACCTTGAATTTTGATAATAATGATTTCGATATTTCATATTGTTATCACCCAACATCATGGTATGACGCTTAGAATAATGGTGATGTTGATCTAATTCATATTCGCTAATATCATCAGACGGAATAGTTTGTATTGTGTTTGAACATGAAATTCCACTAAATATAACATCATTATATTCATAATCTTCCCGTTCAAAACCGGGTAAAGTTATAGAAGATCGACTTCCATGAGAGGGTATGCCAGCAAGTGAACTAGTTATGCTTCTTCTACTTAGTTCGGATCTAAATTGTGACGATGATGGAGATCTTGTAGGTAATCTTTCTGAGAATGAATAACCAATAAAATATTGTTGTACGCCACTATCTAAATCTTGTTTTGGTATTGACAATTTTGGTGTCATGCTAACGAACGTATCATCGAAATTTTGAAGATCCGTTTCATGATCAATTGTTGGGATATAAGTAGGACGTGTACGTTTATGATAAACATCATCCCAATTAACATATTCAAAATACATATGTCCTCTGATTTCCATAGTTCCTGAAGGTCCGCATCCAAGACGAAGAGTTGGATCACGTTGTAATAACTTTATATGAAATAAAAATGAAGATAAATTAATAAAAGTTATTTATAATAGGTTAAATTTTAGTCAGTTAAATTTTAGACAATGATTTTTGTACTCTACTCACACCACGTAACAAATCCATGGCTTCAAACATCATATCCTCTGGAAATGCAAGCTTATCTTCTAATACACGTCGATACATTTTGTTTTGATCTGAATCCCAGTATGGCGTCTATATAAGAATTTTCAACATTCAAAATTAATTATATAAAAAACTTTATAACTTTTATCAGCATATTGACATATTGAATCAACACTTACGACTCCGGTCATCATCTCATAAAGCAAAGTTCCGAGGCTCCACCAATCAACTGGATAACTATATTCTTCACCTCGTATTATTTCTGGTGCCTATATTAAAAAAAAAAACTTTAGATATTTCCTTATGTCCCCATATTGTAAAGTTAAATACTTACCAAATATTCGGCTGTTCCACAGAACGTATTTGTTTTTTGCCAATTTGGTCTGAATTGTTTTGATAGACCAAAATCTGTGAGAACAATATGTCCATCTCGTCCGATAAGAATATTTTCAGGTTTAAGATCACTTTAATAAAGGTAACACATATCACGTGAGCATACGATATAACATATAACGAAACAAAAATTCATATGAATTTTTACATACCGGTATACTATTCCTAAACGATGTAATTCTTCTATCCCTAAAATAATTTCAGTGGCATAAAATAGACATCTTGCATCATCAAACTTGTGCCACTTTGCCAATTGAGTTGCGATGTCACCTCCAGGATAATAATCCAATACAAGGAAAAGTTGATTAATATCCTGATACGCTTCGCGTAATCTGATCAAAAACGGATGTGATATGGTTGAAATTGAAGCGAGAATATCTCTCTCTGTTTTAGTGTGTTCAACTTCATGACGAAACACAACCCATTCCTTAGAAATAGCCTTGAGTGCGTATAATTTGTTGGAATGCCTTTCTCGGGATAGAAATACCTAAAAAAAAAAAGAAAAGAAAAAAGATGATTTGTTATTAATGTCTACAATTTTCATTACACATAATTTCTTAAAGTAGGTTTATTTATTTACCTTGCCCATACATCCTTTACCTAGAACTTTTATTAAATCGTAATCTTCGATTGTCGCTTTATGATAAGGTTGATATGATTGTGTTGTTCGTAAAACTTTTGATTTTGATCTGCTCAATGCCAATGAATTTTCAGATTTCATTGAAGGATCCTTCCATTTTAAATTATCCTTTTCATTTTTTACACTTAGAAAATCTCTAAGTACGGCCGAAGACTTTAATTTAATGTCAGATAAGACTTTTCTTAGATAACTTTCAAGTTTTTCCGCGGTAGATTTACGAAAAAAGAATTGTTTGGGTAAGAGAAAAGCTCGTCGACGATCACTCAATGAAGGTAAAGTTGGACGAAATTTAGGAAATTCTTGTCGGAGCTAACATTATAAAAAAAAAAAAGTAAGAATCCAAAGTTGTAACCAAAATAATAATAATAATAATAATAATAATATATAATAACCTGTTGATCGAATTCAATAAAATCAGTTATTTGTCTTGTGATACTCAAGATTTGATGTTTATCTTCAATCGTTATTAGGAAAACCTATAATAATATAATAATTATCACATTAAAAAATATGATTAAAAATTAACAAATAAATAATAAAGAATTTGATTCGTTCTCGAATAAATTATATCCCGAAAGATTATCATTATGCATATAATAAATTTTGTTTTATTATGATAATGAGAAATCACGTGATAAAAAATCTAGTCGATTATAATAACATAATTAGCAACAAACATTAGTGTAACGTTCAGTTGCGTTACCCCCTCACTTCCCAATCAATCCACATTGGAAAAAAAAATAAACCCTTATTCGTCGTTTATAGTTTATTATAATAAATCTTTTATTGGTGTGATATAATAATAATACAATACTTACTGTTGGAGTATTAGATTTTGACTTCTTACGTGTAGTTGGATTTGAACTTTTACTGCTGTTACTTATATTACTAAAACTTAGTATAAATTTTTTGCTTTCCTTTTTTCGTAGAGAAGGTGACACGAGACTTGTATCTGTTGAGGTAACAGTAACAGTACTTTCAGTTGTTGCAGTAGTAGGAATAGAACTAGTTTGTTGTTTTGTCTGTTCCTGAACAGCTATTCTCAAATTTTCTTGATCAGTTACAGTAAAAGGAAATTCTATTCTACTATTTCTACTTGACAAACTATTTGTAAAAAGGTGAGAAAAAACATTTCCTACAACAACACTTCCACGTCGACTTGCTCCAGAATTTTGAAATATTCTTCGCGGTTTTGGAAATGAAACAGCCTTAGTTGACCAAGGAGGACCAAATTTGTAAGTAGAACGCGTCATTTTTTTCGTTCCAAGTAATGAATATTTGATTTATGAAAAATTTAAAAGGAAGGTTATTTTTTTTTTTTGTTTTGTTTCTCTTTTTTGTACGAGAAACAAAACGAAAAAAAAA